TTTTTGAGACAGGGTTTCTCTGTGTAGCTTTGCGCCTTTCCTGGAACTCACTTGGTAGCCCAGGCTGGCCTCGAACTCACAAAGATCCGCCTGGCTCTGCCTCCCGAGTGCTGGGATTAAAGGCGTGCGCCACCACCGCCCGGCTCCAAGGCTAACTTCTTAAGCAGCACAATTTCTAGTTCTAGCAAAACGGGTTTCTTATTTGCAAAGTTGTTTTGTTAAGGACTCTCTTCTGTTTACTGCAAAGGTCAGTGACTCTATTGACACCAGCTTCATTCCGCCCCGTTCTCCTTTATTCACAAACACAAACGGAAAGGGTAAATTACGTTGAAAGGCCTTTAGAACATCAGATCCCCGTGCACGTGTTTGACTTTCGACATTCAGCTTGTAAAATAATGCAGTCTATCCAGCAGGCTATAAAGCAAGCACTTGAAACAAAACCAGAATGATTAATAACGGCAATAACTGAACTATATTTGGAGTGTTTTGTTACATAATTGCAGTCATAATGAGTACTACAGAATCTGATTATCTTACAGTTGCAATCTGGAGGGGCTTTTTATTTCACTCGGTTATAAAATGTTATGTGAGAGTGTGATGTCACATATTAATGCACAAGAGAGAGATGCCTAATGAGGGTCAATTATCCGTTACCAAGACCCCAAACCATTCACTGCATGGCTTTCTCTATTTATGCATATCCCCCCAAAAATTCTGTGCATGCTTCTATATATATGTTTAGGATTTTAGCATCAATTTTCAATCATGAATTTTTCTTTAGAAATTACTTCACTTGGATCCAAACATTTTTCCAACTATTAAGAAAAATCATGCTATCAGACATGGCAGTGCATTTGGGAGAAGTGCTGAGGCAGAAGTATTACAAGTTCAAGTCCAGCCTGGGCTATATAGCAAGGCTCTCTTTAAGAAAGAGATAGGGAGGACGGAGGAAGGGAGTGAAGGAGGGAAGGGTAGAGCAAGAGAGATAATTACAAAGCATACTTGAAATTAGAAATTAGCTTTTTAAATTTTTAAAGATTTATTTATTTTTATTTTATTTTATGTGTATGAATGTCTTGCCTGCATGTAAATCTGTGTACCATGTGAATGACTGTTGCCTGAGGAAGTCAGAAGAAGGCTTCAGATCCCCTGGAACTGGAGATATAGATGACTGGGAACCACTGTGGGATGCTGGGAATCTAACTCTGATCTTCTGCAAGAGCAACAAGTACTCTTAAGAGTGAAGGCATCTCTCAAGCCAAAAATTTGCTTAAAAAATCAGCTGTGAAACACAAAATTCTTTGGAAGCAGAATGGTATTGCTTGTCTGTTCTGTTTGTTAAGCTTTTCAGTACATACTTTTTGTTTGGAAAGCCTGCGTAACTAGATTCAAGTGAATGGAAAATCTAGGAAAAATGTTGCCCCACCTTTCTTCTCTAAAAAAATGTTCAAGTTTATCTGAGCAGTGTGTTTAAAGTAAGAGTTTATCTCTTGGGCCCATCAGATGTATTCAGTTAATATGGAAGATTAATGACAGAAAAGTGCTTTGTTTATTTTAGTTTGACTTAGTGGTTTGTTTTTCTGTTTGAAATCCTGCCTTTGGATTCTAGTTTTAAAGGTGCATTTCTTTTGTGGAAGTTAACCACAATGTAAATTTTCACGGTATGAGGTGTTGAATGTCGTTATTTTTCCTGTATAATGTCATGATGCTTCAACTGAACAAAGCTTCATATGTATTTATTCCATGTATTTATGTATTTTATTATTAAAATGATTCTAACAAAACAGCAAACATTTATTGAGCATTAAATGGTTGATTGAAGTCTGTATGTTGCCTTTTTTGATCTTTATAACCATGGGCTAGGAATGGTGGTGGTGTAGGCCAGTAATCAGCCCTTGGAATGCAGAGACCTCCCACTGTCTGGCCGCAGAGGGAGATGCTGTCTCAAAACAAGCAGTCAAATGAACAGCAGCTGGTAGTGGCTTGGTATTCCTCTCTGTGGATGAGGAAAGCAAAGCCCAGAGTTACTTGTTTGTCAAGGACACTGGCAACTTAAGAGGGAACCCAGATGAGAGCTGGCTCCATTGCCAGCCCCTCCTCTGTCACGGTGCTCTCCCAGCCAGTAAGGACTATAGAACCTTTATGCCTTTCCTCCACTATTCAGTTTCCTGTTTATGCACAATTCCCTATTCCCAGAGCATCAAAGGCTTTATCAATACTTGGGAAAGAAAAGCCTTTGAAATATTTCAGTCCTATTCCGAGAAAGTGTGTCTTGTGATTGTAATGCTAAGGAATCTCCCACGGAGGTGTTTTGTGCCTCCCTCTCTGTTACAGACGGCGAGCTGGAGAATAGAAATTTGGACAGCCTTTCAATTTCAACTGAAAACGGAGGAATAATTGATGCCACTTTCTGTGGCATGAAGTCACTTTAAAAGCAGCTTCATAAAAATGTAGGTTACCTACCAACACATTAGCTTCTCCCTGCCATCAGCACCCTGAACGGCCACTAGTTTCACAAATAGACTACGAATAAATGTCATGCATTTAAATGGTTTGTACTGAATTTTTAAAGCATAAGATACTATTTGTGGTTTGAAGTCAAGGTGGCCTACTATTCTTTATCCTATTACATATATCCATTTAGCTTTATACTTGAATTACATATTATTCCCTTAGTGGTGCTGTGAAAAATACGCTTTCATATAACGTAGGTAGGTATAAAATAATGGCTACCTGAATACATGGTGCATGAATAAATAATCAAGGCCTAGTAGATTTTTATTCAAGAAGCCTGTATGCCTGATCAGAAGCATCAGGTCATCTGCATAGGCTAATGCAACTCATCTGAAATAGAAGAGAAGATCGGAACGAACGGTGACAATTGCATTACTTGCCAGGAAGTCCTTTGATGCAGCTGAATGGGGCTACTCGTAGTATGTGTTAGGTAAATTTGACTTCAGGGACAAATAGAGCAGACAGCACAATTTATTTTCAGCTCGTCTGTATGGTTCAAATCAATGGTTTACATCTCCCTTTCCTGGCTTATTGCTGCACTGGGGTTGGAAGCAAGGAGGAGACCCATTCCTGATGTCCCTCTCCAGACTGACAGCAGTGCTATAATATCACTTGATCCCAGGGGCACCGACAGAAGACTCAGATGGAAGCTCACAAGTTAAATACTGTACACCATCAGCTTCTACTAGTCTTGTAATTCCGAGAGCCCTAACACCATCTGTCCTAAAAACAGTAACTGGAATGTCAGGATTTGGAATGGCTTCAGGCTGCAGAGTCAGTGGGAGAGAATCAGAAATACTATCTTGACAGACTGGTTTCTATTAACATGACAAGTGACATTCTATAACAAAATTTAAACTTAAAAAGAGTTGATTTGGGATTCTCATAAGGGACTCATTAAGCAACCAAAGAAGCATAACACTTAAAAATGGACCTGTAATCCAGTGCTAATTTAAAAAAAAAGAAATTAAAATGGGTTTCCTTCAATCCAAGGAAGATTAGCTTTGTAGAACATGTACCTCTTTAAAATTTAATTTGATAACTCTAATGTTAACTCCATACCTCTCTGTAACTTTTTATAAATGAAGAAATTCATTTCCTTAGGCATTTAAGACCACACAGTCATGATGAAATTGTAGGATAGCATTTGCTACCTCAGGGAAAGGACTGTTTGCCTCATTGGAAACCATTTAATGGGATACGTCATGACTCAATTAAGCTTGCTATGGCTTGTCAAAAGGAATTTTCCAGTGCATATTGCTATGGAAGAGCCTATTGCATGTGAATAACTATACCATACCACAGGATAAACAGACTGAAAATGTATATAGTTCACTAAGAAATAAACAGGACCATAGAACCCAACTTCAGGTTTTTTTTTTAAATAAATAAATTTATTTATTTATTTTACATCTTGGCCACAGTTTCCCTTTTCTCCTCTCCTCTGAGTCCCTCTCCCACAACCCTCCTCTGTTCCCACCCCCACCCCACTCCCAATCCACTCCTCCTCCGTTTCTGTTTAGGAAAGGGCAGGTCTCCCATGAGTACCAACCAAACATGGCTTATCAAGTTACGGGAAAACTAAGTACATCCCCATGTATTAAGGCTGGGCAAGGTGACCCAATCTAGTTTTTAAAAACAAAAGGGGAATAAAATGGCAAATAATAATAATAATAATAGGCAAAAGCCAGAGGAATCAGTAATGGTGAAAGGGAAAAATAAGACAACTCGCCTGTGATTATTTTTCTTTAAAACTGATTCCAAAGGTATTAAGCACCTTTCCAAAATGACACATGAGGCTGAGGGCCGGAGAAATGAGATTGCTGGAGGCTGTGGGATGATTCATAACATGATGCTGACAGGAGCGGTCCAAAGAGTTTACCACTATCGACTCTCAGGAAAAGAGGATGGGGGTGGCGGTAATGACAACTGTCTCTAATGTCACTAGACCCTACTCTGTGTGGCATTTTGAGTCACAAATATCCAGTATAATTGCCTGCATCATATGGCACAAGATAGATACTCCTCTTAAACTGATCTGTAGTTGGCATTTTCTTTGGGCCTCCAACCAGCTCCCAAACAAGGACACGGAAGATGTATAATTAATTATGAATGCTCAGCCCGAGCCTAGGCCTGTCCCACCAGCTCTTCTAACTTAACCTCTTTCTATTCATCTACCTTTTGCCTCAGGGCTTTTTATTTTTCTTTCATTCTGTATGTCCTATTTTCCTGCTTGCTCCATGTCTTTCTGTCTGGCCCCTGGCATCTCTCTGGTGTCTCTTTTTCTTTCTCCTTTTTCAAGC